TGGAGGAGTCAGGCTACTACTTCTAGACCAGTTGCTCCACAAACCGCTCAGCCAGCTCAGGGTGGAGCTCAGTCAGCTAGGGGTCACCCAAGAGGGGAGGCCGATCCAGTGGCGGTCAGGGTCGATTCTATGCTTTTCCTGCGAGACCAGATGTTGTTGCTTCAGATGCAGTGATCACAGGTATTGTCTCAGTGTGCCACAGGGAGTCATCTATATTATTTGACCCTGATTTCACATATTCGTGTTTCATCATATTTTGTTCAGTTTCTGGATATGCCCCATAAGTCCTTAGTTCCACCTGTTCATGTATCTACACCGATGAGCGATACTATAATTGTGTACTGGGTGTATCGGTCGTGTGTGAAAATTATTGGGGGACGAGACTAGAGTTTATCTTTTATTTCTTAGTATAGTCAATTTAGATATTATCTGGGTATGGTGAGATATCATATGTTTTGTTATATGGCCTTGGGCCAAGTGGGGGAGTTTGCTATCCACGATTTGATTGCGTGATTATTTGCGGTATTGGTTTCGTTCTGAGGTACATTTGTGGATTAGTTATGACTTGCATAGGTTGCGATCGGTAGGATAATATTGAAATTCGGCTTAGAAAGTGATTATGGTTCTGGTTGGGGCGAGAGAGCTCTATGACTTGTTGCTCTGATAAGGGGCCATGATATTTCTGCATGTTTCTTTTATTATCAGCAGTGTACGAAGGTTTTGGAACGAGGTTTGGCTTAATATGAGGTTTAATACTTGTACTTGGTTGGTTTGGAGTAATTACTGTGATTGTGATCAGGAATGGTGCTGCGAGCATGTGAGTTGTGTAGTATGTAATGTGATTATATCTGGGATTATGGCTATGGCTTGATACAGCTTGTTCAGACTTATACTGTGTGTGAGATTTAGATTTTGGAAAGAATTCTAGGTGTTAGAAATTGGGCTCCAAGTTTTTGGCTAAGGTTAAATTAATGATTTTCAGTTGTGTTATGTTGTCAGGCCTATATAGAATAGGGTGACATGGGATCACCCCCAGGTATGTGATTGGTAAGGAGGAACAGTGATTTAAAGGCTTAGGAACAACTCTTGGCATGTTCGAGGACGAACGTATGTTTAAGTGGGGAGATTGTAACGACCCCACCGGTCGTTTTGAGCATTTACGCTCCTTTCAACTATTTAAAATCTTGAATAACTTCCTACAAGGTATTATGACTTGTGTGAATTGTCGATTTTGGTTTTAAGGTATTTCGGAGTTAGCTTGGAAGAATAAATTTAATGTTGGAAGCTTAAGTTGAAATAGTTGACCAGATATTGACTTATGTGTAAACGGCCTCGAATTCGAATTCTGATAATTCCAATAGCTCCGTATGGTGATTTTGGACTTAGAAGCGTGTCCAAAAAATTATTTGGAGGTCCGTAGTAGAATTAGGCTTGAAATGGCGAAAGTCGAATTTATGGGAAGTTTGACCGGGGGGTGACTTTTTGATATAGGGATCGGAATCTAGCTCTGAAAATTTTCATAGCTCTGTTATATCATTTATGACTTGTGTGCAAAATTTGAGGTCAATCGGAATTGATTTGATAGGTTTCGGCGTCGAATGTAGAAGTTGAAAATTCTTAAGTTCCTTAAGCTTGAATTGGGGTATGATTCATGGTTTTAGCATTGTTTGATATGATTTGAGGTTTTGACTAAGTCTATATGATGTTATAGGACTTGTTAGTATGATTTGACAGGTCCCGAGGGGCTTGGGTGTATTTCTTTTTGGATCTTTGGTTGAGAGACTAGTAAGATTAAGAAATTTGGGAGTTTGACCATGGTCAATATCGGGTCAAAACGTCCTCTTTTCAGTCTTTTGAGTGCGCGAGCAGGTTCGTGGCCTGTTTTATGATTGAAATTCATATATGGTTTGTGTCCGGGAGGTTTTGGATTATTAACAGATCCAAATTTGGACTTAAACAGCTGCTGAAAATTTCTGCTGCTAGAAAAAATCGAGGCCATGAAAAATCGAGGACCGAAGACCGAAGGCCGAACACCGAAGGTCGAAGATCGAAGGCTGAAGACCGAAGGCCGAAGATCGAAGACCAAGGACCGAGGTCCGAAGGCCGAGGACCGAAAACAGAGGAGCGAGGACCGAGGACCGAAGGCCGACGGCCTGGACAGAACTGTAAGTTATAAAGCAGGGGACTTCGTCCCATTTTCTATTTTTGTCAAATTAGAGCTTGGGGAGAGGCGGTTTTTGGGAGGTTTTTAGAGAAAACATCGGGGTAAGTGTTCTTAACTCAATTATGGTTAGATTATCTGAATTCATCATTTGTTTTCACCATTTAATTATTGATTTGAGATTGAAATTTGGAAAAAAATTAGAAATCTTATAGAAACGAATTTTTGAGATTTCGGTGTCGATTCGGAGTCGGATTTGAGTGAAATATGTATGGTTGGACTCATAATTGAATGGGTTGTCAGATTTTGTGAGTTTTGCCGAATTCCGAGATGTGGGCCCCACGGGCGATATTTGAGCTTAAATTCGGATTTTTATGGAAAATTAGCATTTTCTTATGGAATTAATTTTAATAAATTTTATTGACTGAATCAAATTATTTATGGCTAGATTCGAGGCATTTTGGGACCCATGGGTCGTGTTTCTGTTGAATTAATTATTCAAAAATATACATTTCACACTCAGTAATAATTGTCCATTGTGAGGATATTTATGGGATGGAACTGCGTAACGCAACAGGCCATAATGGCTTTATACATCATTATTATATGGATCAGGGTTGCCCGCCTGCAGAAAGCCTTATAGGCTTTACTATTTTATGGATCGGGGTTGCCCGCCTGCAACAGGCCTTATAGGCTTTGTTATTAGACGGATCGAGACTGCCCGCCTACAATAGGCCATATTGACTTTGTATTACGCTTGGGCTGAAGGAGCCCCTCCGGAGTCTGTACACACCCCCAGTAAACGAAGATGATTATGTATATTCGAGATGGATTTCCCAGGGCATGAACTTGCCTAACTTATTTGTATTATAATGAATTTACCTGGACATGGATCTTGTCTGTATCATTTACATTTGGGGATAAATTACCCCAGGGCTAGTTTGGCCTTATACTGTACTGAATGACTAACTGTCAGTCGATGTGTATTTATATACGGGTTGGAACACCCCTGGGCTGGATTGGCCATAAACAGTACAGAGTGACCGAATAATTGGTGACCAGTATTTACTTGAGGTCTTTCTACTGAGATGTCATATTCCTCATATCATGCAATATTGATCTATTTCGCTTGTACTGAGTTTAACTGTTGAACTTGAAAGCATGCCTATATTTTTGTACCATTATTTATATTGGACTGTACCTACGGAGCTTGTCACTCCTTTCAGCCCAGAAGTTAGTCTCGTTACTTATTGAGTTAATTGTTCTCATACTACACTCTGCACCTCATGTGCAGATCCAGGTGCTCCCAGATACGACGGCTGTTAGAATTCGGAATTCTTTCCGTTAGAGACTATCAAGGCAGCTGCTTGAAGACCGCAGACTTGATTCCCTTCCTGTTTAGTTATTGCACTATTCTATATTTCAGACAGTGATTTCTTTTTGCCAGTCAAACTTTGTATTCATTTAGATGCTCATGTACTTAGTGACACCGGGTTTTAGGAGTGTCATATTTGTATTTGTCAGATTTCTTCCGCTGAATTTAATTATTTGGTTTTCAAACTTAATAGATATGGTGGTTTATTGAGATTGTCGGCTTGCCTAATATTGAGATAGGCGCCATCACAACATGTGAGATTTTGGGTCGTGACAAACCCATTTCCCCCTTATAGTAGTACGAACACCCCCCCCCCCCCAAACCCTTAGGAACCCCTCATTTCTCTTCATCATTCTTCAACTCTTCTAAACTTAGCTGCCCTAAAAATCCCAAACCCTACTGGCCGGAGGCCACCACCCCAATCACGCCTAAAATCACACCCTAGACTCCTCACATCACCCTTATCCTTATTCTACCATTAGTTTTCCAAAAAGCTCCACCAAACCCGTCGATTTTCAAATCTGAGAAATCAAGAAAAACCTAAATCGCATGTTTTTCTTCAATCCTGGTCTTTTGAATTTGAAATCGATATCAGTCAATTACTCTTGATAAGAGCGGTCGATTGATGATGATTTCAATTCATCAAACGACCACCGGAGTCCGAGCAGGTGTTTGTTTGTCACTGGTTTCTCTTAAAATCTCCTTCCATTTCATTTTTGGCTCAAAAATGGTGATCCTTCCTATCCTTTTTTCTTTTGTGTTGCGTTTGGTGTTAGCCTATCTAAATTTCGATGGAAAATAATGACTTGCTTAATTAATAAGGGTTTTCAAATCTGGTCCGAAATGGTTTAATTGTCTTGATTGTTGGTTGGGTTCAGAAGTAGGTTCAATTATTAGCATGTTTAGTTTTTGATTGATAATCTATTAATAGTTATCTCATGAATTGTGATGGTTGTTCGAATAGTCACATGATTAGGCCGGCGTTTGAATTCGTATTTTGATTAGTGTAATTGTGCATTAATATAGATTCTGGGTTTTAGTTTAATTGGTTAATCTGTCATTGCGTAGCTGACACTAAGAAAATCAGATTGTTTCCTACTAGGTCTATTTTTGAAATTGATAAAAGAGAAGGGAGCAAAGTTTAAGTAAAAGAAAAGGTTTAAATGAAGGAAGGGTGACCTAATGGGGTTAACTGGAGGACAAAAATCAGGGAAATCTTTTGTAACTAATTAGGAAAGTACTAGAAGAGTGTGGAAAGGGATCAAATAGAAATAAAATGATACAAAAAAGAGAGAGGTCATGGTTTTGGTCTTTTGTAGGTAGAAAAGAGTGAATTTTCATAAGTTAAAATAAGAAGAAACTTCTAGAAAGGTATAGTTGTCCCAATCTGTTAAGAAAGATACTGAAAATTTGGAAAATATCTGAGAAAAAAAGGACAGCGGTCCATTTATTGTTAAAAAGATGTCATTTTCCTAAATTGTAGGAGGCTGATAGATTCCTTTCTAGGCCTTATCTCATTCCCTCATAGAGCATATGCATATGCTGTAAAAAGTGACACTTCCTCACATTCTCACACACATTAATTCACTCAGCAGTCCTCTCAAATACACTCAAGAACAGATACTGATTTTACACAGAATTCTCTAAAAATTGGATCTTTTTTTTTATTTCTGTTTCTGTCACTCTGTTGGTTTAGCTGAGATTTTGAGGTTGTTTTCTTCTGTTTCCTACTGCTTGATATTGCTGAATCCATCCAGTGTTGGTTTTTCTTAGCCTTTATTTGGCAAAAAGTTCAGCTTGTTTACGAGTTTAGGTACACATCTCACACATGTACTTTTGTTTTCGATTTGCAATAAAATGTTAGCTATTCTTTGAAGTTATTTGTTGTTATGGTGTAAACTTGCTGTCTGTTTTGTTTTAAACGTAAATGGATGTTAGTTCGATATGTTTAAGATTTAAAACCTGCTATGGATTTGCGTGTTAAGGACAACTGATCTCTATAGCCATTTCATAACTAGAATTGTAGTTGATTTCACATGTTTGTTTAGACCTCAACATGTATATATCATTTTCAAATACTTGATGTATATATTTGAGTATTAACTACTGAAATCTGAGCCTGCTTTCATGATTTCTGATAAATTAAAGTCTAATTCTTGATTTGAAGGTCAATAATTGGGGATCTGGCCACATGTTGGTTCGATTTGCAGTTTAAGGCTTGAGCAAAGTTGCGTCTCCGTCGGATCTTTGTTGCTTGGGTTTGTTATCCATTAAGTATCAATTAGAATCGTGATCATAGTGAGGTTTAACCATAGCTGCATTTTTTAATGGGACATGAATATAAAAATTTTAAGCATACAATGATGCGTTCCATAGCTGGCAATGTAGTTGCTCAGGTGACTGTTCAGAAGTTCATTTGTTCAATTGATTATTTATTTTGTTAAGCTATAATACTGCCATATGCCTTAAATGCTTTGTTCGTGTCCAAAACTGTGTTTTCTCCAAATCAACTAAAATTGTTTTAGCAATAGCATGAGAGGAATCGTGTATGTGTTCAATCTTCTTACAGATCTTAGATGTATTTGTTTGATTCATGCATGATCTTGAGCTATCAATTAGTTCTTCAAACTTTATTCCATCTTGGATTGATTAACAGAAACTGTGAAAGTGGGTGCAGGTGTTAGTTTAAATTTCAATTTATATTTTTATGAATGATCAATTTGTTATGAATATATTATATTATAGATGTTCATTTAGTACTCCGTTGTAAATAAGCTTCCTAAAGAAGTTTATCCATATGAGACTCCACCATAAATACATTTATCTATTTAGTACTCTATTGGAA